GAGCCGACCCTAAGTTAAGGGTGATTAGGCCATAGTCAACCACGCTGGCCAAGTGCGGGTTGACTTTACACATATCTTTTAATATCTTCTCAGATATGTGCAGCATCACGATGTTTTTCTTCACCGTAAGAACGTCGGATAAATGTACATATGTAAATCAGAAATCGAAAAACATTAGTACATGACGGGATTCGAACCCAGGACTTGCAGATTGCAAATCAAGTGCTTGACCCCTGAACCACCGACGCTCTATGCGCGACAATGAAATTGTTAGACATTAAATGTTTTTACGGTGAAGGAAAACATCATGATACTGCACATATCTGAGAAAGTCAAACAAATGTGTGAAGTCAACCCGCACTTGTCCAGCGTGGTTGACTATGCCCTAATCACCCTTAAATTAGGGTACGCTCCAAGCCCCTCGATTGGGACGTATAGTGAGCTGATGATGATGATATGTTAAATTGGGCTGACGTTTCTTCGAAATAACACGGTTTTGAGGAATACATTCCTTAAATGATTGCTGTAATTGAACAATGAACTTTGTATGTTAGAATTTCAATCGCAATTCAGTTGTTAGGGGTAGTTTACACTAAAGTTAAGTTTATTTGAAAGAATTTACGAAATTTAAAATATACATTTTTGTCCACAGATTTACATAGCGCAAAGTTTTTTTATTATTTACTTTACTATAGTATGTCTATTTGCGATAGATTAGTTTTACAACTGATGCTTATTAAGTATCGAATTTTGGATGAGGATTAATGATGTACTTAATGAATGGTTGCCACCGTTCTTCTTATAAGAAAACGGTTGGGAAGGAAAAGAGGACTTTCCGGATGAGAGGATGCATGGAAAGGGAAAATATTTTCTTTCTGTGCATCCTCTCCGTCGATTAAAGGTAGGCAACGCATATGCAATTGCGTATGTCTATGGGCAACGGTCACTTCGCTATATCAGTGTTTTCAGGTGGCCGCTCGCTCGTTTGCCACCTTATGATATATAAAAAAAATTAGGGCTCCGCTACCAATGCTACCTTCAGTCAAAATACACCCCAATGCTTGAATTATTTCGTCCAAGTCTAAATAATTCGAACAATTTTATAAAGTTCTAACTAAAACAAAACAAATGAAAATGTTCAACGAACTTTATTTAAATAAGTCAATGAATTTTATTTGGATTAAGATTTATATTAACTTAAGTTCTAGATCTTATACAGCGTGTCCCAAAATTCAACAATAAAACGGTTATGGTGTATAACAAGATCGATAACTACACGGTGAATAATACTATAAAAAATTCAACTATTTTTGTTTAAAAGTTACATTAACTTTTATGACTTTTCTTATAATTTGATATCCTCCGCCATATGATAAGACATCCCGTGTAGTTCAGCTGAGCTGAACAATTTAATGTCTGTGAGTAGCGGTCAATTAGTCCTATATATTTCGCTTATTGATTTGCCGTCTGTTAGTTAAGAAAAAACATTCAAAAGATTAATATTGTAACTCTATGACCTATACCTATTTTTTTTATATCATAAAGTGGCAAACGAGCGAGCGTCCACCTGAAATCGCTGAAATAGCGAAGTGAACGTTGCCCATATACATACGCAATTGGATATGCGTTGCCTACCTTTAATCGACGGAGGAGAGGATGCACAGAAAGAAAATAATTTCCCTTTCCATGCATCCCCTCATCCGGAAAGTCCACTTCCACTTCCCATCATTTCCTTATAAGGAAAAGGGTGTGAAGGGAAAGAGGACTAAATTAGGCCTCCGGGACGCAAACTAATCAGACGAAACGCGGAATTGCTTCCACTTGACGCCTGTCTTCTGTGTGGTCGTGGTATCTTACCGGGCGAGACCAATTCGTGCGAACATGTTAAATCGGGCTCTATCACTGTTAAAGCCCGCTGACAGAAAGTGGCGCTACAAAGCCACAGATTTGTAGCGCCCCTTTCTGTCCAGCGCCCTGGGTCGTCCAACCGCGCCCTTCCCTTAGGCCGGCCCTGTCTAAAATCACAAATTAACTTATAAGCATTGTTTTTTTTAGTTCTAGTTTCAATTTAAGTATATATTGTTACAAATATTATCACTGTAATAAATCTTAACACGTTATTAATAATAATAAACAAAGAAATAATATTAATATAAGTATTTAATTTGATGATCGCATGATGGAAATGGCGGGCATTCATTTAATTGTTCGTGATTATTTCAGTATATTGCGTTTGATTTCTGAACGTTAAGAATTCTTTTGCTTTTATAAAAAATGATAAAATATAAAAAAAAAAATGTCATCGTCATCATCAGCTCACTATACGTTCCCGTTTAGGGGCTCGGAGTCTACCCTAAGTAAGGGTGATTAGGCCATAGTCAACCACACTGGCCTAGTGCAGGTTGACTTCACACATATGTTTGAGTTTGTTAGATATGTGCAGCATCACGATGTTTTCCTTCACCGTAACGTCGGATAAATAAATGAAAAACACATTGGTAGATGGCGGGATTCGAACCCAGGACCTGCAGATTGCAAGTCAAGTGCTTGACCCCTGAGCCACAGACGCTCGCGACGCAAAACAAAAAATAATTGCATTTAATTTTAGTGGCTGAATATCAAAAATTCCTTTGCCTCTAAAGACGATATTTTTAATTAATTGCGTTTTAGTTTTCTGGCTGAATATCCATAATTCCTTTGCCTTTAAAAACAGTATACAATTAAAACTAAATTGTGTTTTTAATTTTCGTGGCTTTAAAATACCTTTACCTTTTCGCTCTTTCTAATCTATATTTAAAAGTAAACTTCGTGTAACCTTACAGCGAAGGTTGTGTAACTAGGTCTTTACGGTAACCTAAGATTAAGTTTAAAAAGCATAGCTTCATTTGTTCATTTTTTTTTACATATTTACTCCCTTGTCACAATATATATTTAAATATATCTATATATATAAAAGAAAGTGGTGTTAGTTACACTATTTATAACTCAAGATCGGCTCTACCGATATGACTGAAAATTTGTGAGGAGGTAGCTTAGAGCCAGGAGACGGACATGGGATACTATTTATTATGCCTTGAAGAGTTGCTTTTTATTTAACTTACTAATATTATAAATGCGAATGTTTAGATGGATGTGATGTGGATTGATGAATGGGTTACTAACTACTACACTAATTAAGTTTTTTATATATGTCCACGCGGACGGAGTTGTGAACGACAACAAAGTCATGGATGAAACGTCAAAAACTGAAAAGAGGTTATGTTCTTTAGCTCCTATTTTAACGTAATATTATTATAAATGTAATTTGGTAAATAATTTTATATAAATTATTTGTTATAGGTTAGTAATTTTTAATCTGTGTACTTTAATTACTATTATAATCTTTGCTCTGTTTTCGCCTTAACCCAGATACATGCTAATAGATGGCGCTTTACGATATTTCCACTACGGAAGCGTGGTAGATTTATACATCCAACTAACATAGACCTTTAGAGCCGTTGGATTTATTAAAGAATATAGGTCTTCGTTATTTGGATGACTTTCTACCCTTTCGTGTTGCTTGTAGCCACTGTTTTTATCTGTAAAGGAATTTCAAATTAGCTACGATGTTGTTTTAATTTGTACTTAACTTCAATGCAGGAAGGTGTATTTTCGTTTATCAGGTGTTAATCTAATGCAACGATAGTAAGAATTCATTTTGGAATAAGTTTTTACTATGGTTGTTTCTGGCAGGAAACTTTCTGCATTTAAAAAAAAAAATGTTCGATATTTAAATTCGATTCTTTTTTTTTAAACTTTGACATGTACGCGGGAAAATTTTCAAAGACTAAACAACACGCAGTTATAAAAATAAGTAATGATTAATACGATAAGAAAGAAATAGGCCGTTTCTTCAACAAAAAAAATGTAAAAAGCCTCATTTCAAGCTAACCTTTCTACGGGCTATCATTTATTATGCCCCCTGCTGTATTTGCATACTCGGGCACGCGAGTTTACCGCCATTTTTTGACGTTGAAATGATTTTTATTTGGTGGCCAGTGTTATCCAAATTCTCATACAGAAAATAGGAATGGAATTAGAAAACATTAAAATCAATAAGAGAAAAACATTAAATATATTTTTAGAGACTAAAAAACTCTACTAATTTCTACGTACTTCAAAAAAAAAAATTACCAAAAACAACAAAATTTTGTAATCACGTGAAATAAAACTACAAACTTTGTTGTTTTTCTTGATTTTCTTTTAACGAGCAAAAGTTACATTTCGAAGTGCGAAAAAGTCTTTCCAAAACTATTTTGGTTGTAAATGGACACTTGGCAGAAAGTTCATGACATTTGACATTAAAAAAATACATGACAGTTAAAAAAAGCGCGGCAAATTTATGCAATCTGTGTTGTAAATGTGATATTCCATACGATATTTTTAGGCTTATTTTACCGCGATGACCTTTTCAGTTTTATTAATAGCGCGTAATTTACTTTTATAAAACATTTTAGGTTATTCTTTCATAGCAACGGAGAGGCGAATAACTAAATAATAATTTTATCACTATAGCAGGGCCATTTTAATAATTCACATTTTAATACTGCATCGAAATTCAACAGCGCGAAATTAAAAAAAAATAACTTAGTAGCCTATGTGTTCTTTCAGACTGTTCTACATCTATGACAAATTTCTCCGAGATCTATACAGCCGTTCTGAATATACTTTCTAACAAACATCTAAACATTCGCATTTATAATATTAGTAAATTAATCGATACAGTAAAATAAAGTATGAATGCTATTCGAACCATAAAAAGGAGGTTATAACACAAAGTATTCATAAAGGCAATGCTCTTTATAAATGGATAGGCGATTGCTTTCTATTGCTTCATTCCTTAAACGCGTGACGAAAATCAAATAGGCACAAAATATTACGTCTTACGCCCATCCATTTATAGAGTGATACGGTTGAATTATTTTTTTTAAACAAACGCTTGCATGTGTCTTATCTTCCAGCCCGTCCGTGCTCCCGTCAAGCTGATTGCGCGGGCATCAGCAGCTCATCATGCGTCAGAACTCATTACGACTCGGTGACAAGATGTCTCTGCGGTGATAACTCTCCACCATTGAACGGACAATGCGAGGCTCAATCGAAACGTAAGTCATTCATGTTTAACTCACTTTATTTATCTCTAATACAAGTAATAAGTTTGTCTAGATCATAATCAATCTGCCCTTATCCCTATGGACAGTATGTCCACCATACATCTCTATCAACCATGCCTGAATCCACTCCCTTCTTACATATATCCCCTTTAACATAATCCATACTTTCTTTGGTCTTTCTGTCACCCGCGACTCCGTCCACGCGGAATTTAAAAAAAACTATTTGACGCAGCGTAATGTTTTATAGCTTAAAGCCTTCCTCTATAAATGGACTATACAACAAAAAAGAATTTTTCAAATGGGACCAGTAGTTCCTGAGATTAGCGCGTTTAAACAAACTCTTCCGCTTTATAATAGCATAGCAAACCTTCAGTAATTTAAATAAAAAGTAAGAACTCTTCACTCTGCACAAAAATAAAGAGTACATTTGTTGTCTAAGAAAGAACTGTACTAGATGAATTTATATCGTAACTCAATCGTTTGCAAACTGTCATCATCATCAGCTCACTATACGTCCCCACTGAGGGGCTCGGAGCCTACCTTAAGTTAAGGGTGATTAAGCCATAGTCAACCACACTGACCAAGTGCTGCGACTTCACACATATCTTTGACTTTCTCAGATATGTGCAGCATAACGATGTTTTCCTTCACCGTAACATCGGATAAATGTACATATGTAAATCGTTAATCGAAAAACTTTGGTACATGGTGGGATTCGAACCCAGGACCTGCAGATTGCTGTAAATATAGAAAATTATAATAATTTCCATAAGAAATAATATTAAAATAATATTCTGCCACAGTATGGTGACCTTTTCAAAATGGCGTCAAATTTATAACCAGTCTTGGTCATTTATTGCTATAAATGCGAGCATTTACTTTAATTATATTTAAACTCGCAATATTTTAAAATGAAATATATGTTTTAACAATTCAAATGTTTGAATATAACAAAATAATTTTCTGTTGGCAGAATTATATAAGTACTTTTGCCTCTTTTTTTTTAAATATTGACATTTCTCTCTTTAACTTTTAATTTAATATTTCGCAATTAACTTCTTACTAATATTGTAAATGCGAATGTTTGAATAGACAGATGGATAGATGTTATAAGGTATCTCCAGATTGGCTGAAAGGATCTCGATGAAATTTGTCACACATATAGAACATAGTCTGGAAGAACACATAGACTACTCAGGTTTTTTTTTAAATCCCGCGCGGACGGAGTCGCCGTCGACAGCTACTTTCAAATAATAATTAGTTTTAAACAAAAAAAATACATACACATAAAACGATTAAGGGTATTCGTGACTTTGATTCCATTAAACTAACCTAAAACATCAGATAGAGATTAAATACACGTAAAAAGGTAACATTTTGCTCTACATTTAAAAAAATAATAACTAATTACGAACAAGGGCTAACTTTCATGTTTAGATGAAATAAACGATTGCGATTTGACGTTTATAACTTTCAAAATGGCCGAAAGTCAAAGTCGTTTGCGCGGGAAAAGGAATCAAGATTGTGAACGAAGGATTTAATGCAAGGTCATTGCGAGGAAATCGAGTTAAAATAAAATGGTCGTCAACCTAAACAATGGATTTTTTCTGGTCGCAATATTAAAATATTATAACTAACTTATTAACTTCGACACGCTAAAATATAAAGACACCTTTAGTACTTATGTTCTATTATATATTTAAAATATCTTAAGCCGATATTCAAACGGTTTTATTAAGATTTCACGGTTGAATTCAGTGAAAAAGAGAAATTATTTTAACAAGCTATATTAGCTAACAATCTTACTTATTGACTATAAATTTATTTTGTAAAGTTTGAGCGTCGAAATTAATGGTAGAAACATGTTTATTTTTCATACATCTATAATTACTGCCTTATAAAGGTAAAATTGTTTAGTTAGGTTTGTTATATTCTCATTTCCAAACATTTTCCGTGGAATTTTCAGTCTTACCCTTATAGTTATTGAGTAGACTTTAATTATTTCCTTATTTACAATATTCATCAGAGAACCCACGAATCATCATTCCTTTCCTTACCCAATTCTTTGTAGGTTGCAACTCCCCTTTCTTTTTGTGACTCTCTACTTTTTTATACTCTTTGCCCTCCATATACAAACCACAGATAAACAAACGAGTCACAGATTAACAGACAAACCACAGATAAACAGACGTCCCACTGATAATTTTTATTATGATTTATTTCAGTTCTTTACCACGTTTGTGCGAACAGCGATGAATGTAACGATGGCTTGGTGTGCGGTGCACCCAACATTACCGGCAACGCACAGCCACATCTCCGTGTCCTGACTCCACAAGATAAGATCTGCCTTTGTGATACCGAGAGTGGATACAGGGAACGTGAATATACTTGCAGCGGTAAGTAGTAGTTCACAAATCATAAAGTGTTTTTTTATATCATAAGGTGGCAAACGAGCGAGCGGCCACCGGAAATCGCTAAAATAGCGAAGTGACCGTTGCCCATAGACATACGCAATCGCATATGTGTTGCCTACCTTTAATCGACGGAGGACAGGATGCACAGAAAGAAAATATTTTCCCTTCCCATGCATCCTCTCTTCCGGAAAGTCCACTTCAACTTCCCATCCTTCCCTTACAATAAAAAGGGGGGAAGGGAAAGGGGACTAAATTAGGCCTCCGGGACGCACACTCATCAGACTGTAGTTGGAATTTCTTCCACTTAACGCCTGTTTTCTGTGTGTGAGTGTAAGCTACGTATAAGAGAGTTGATGGTTCAGGGGTTTACTTGCGATCTGCAGGTCCAAGGTTCGAATCCCGCCATGTCCCAATGTCTGTTAGGCTCCGAGACCCTCAGTGGGGAAGTATAGTGAGTTGATGATGAAAGCAGAGGTTATTATACACGAATTTATCAATTTCAATCCAATTTCAAATCTTTGCTTAGCTTTTGTTTTCCGTTATAATTTTAACATGCATATTTTCAGATGCTGAAATTCTCAAGACTTCCATCTTTGCGATCATCTTCGTCACTAGCTTAAGGAAAATTGTATTTTATTAATCGGTCCTTAATGTTTTTTCTAGTTTTTATTTCATTTTTAATTCTAACATGAGTATCCATTATTGAAATTGTCTCATAAGATTGTAGTAGGTATTAAATTAAATGTCACTTTCATATCTAATCTATGACTAACGTTATTCAATAATTACATTCCAAAGTAACGAACGTTTTCCAAATAAGATATGACCTAAAGGTCTATGTTACCAGGTCATAAAATTAAAAAAAAATTACATTATTGTGTAGCCACAGCTTAATATATTCATTTTAAATAATTCTACAATATAATGAAAAATAAATTTACGAACAGAATGCAAATCTATATATATATAAAAGAAAGTCGTGTTAGTTACACTATTTATAACTCAAGAATGGCTTTACCGATATGCCTGAAAATTCGTGAGGAGGTAGGATACTTTTTTTTAATTTATGCCTTGAAGAGCTGCTTTTTATTTTCCTTATCTATATATTAAGATTTTTTTATATTCACGCGGACGGAGTAGTGGGCGACAGCTAATTGTTTTATAATTATGATAAAATTAGCTGTCATTTTCATATTTAGTCTATGTTAAATGTCATTTGACAGATAAAATTAACGCTTTTAATTAATTCACTAAAATCACAGCAATTAATAACTACGATAAATAGACTTAAAATACGATTAAGAGTTTAAGTAATAATATAAAGAGTTAATACGTAACTAAACTTTGCTGTTATTTGCTTCACTATTTGTTAGTTTGATGGTTAAATATGTAGGCTTTAAACGTGACGCAACAAGCACTTATTTGAGAAGAAATTCATATGTTTGAAGTCAAACCACACTTGGCTAGCGTTGTTCAGTTTGGTCTAATCACCCGTAACTTACTTGAGCTATGGGCTTTGCTTTCCGATGATATAATCTAGATCTAGATCAGGCTTGTAGTTAACATTCTTTTCTGTATTTCAAAGGGAGCACTTATCAACAATTTGGTCTAATTCTTAAATAAAATACTGGCAATAGGTTATTGATTATACGTACCTTAAATTAACGATTTTTTAGGGAGGGGAGTAGACTTCTCTGTTCTCTTTTGGTGACGCCCATGGCTCAAGTCTAAGCAAACATTTATGAGCCGATGATAACGTTATAAAATGTCTTGTTCAATAAATTTTTATTCACAATTATGTTTTGTATAGTAAAAAGTTTATATATCGTTAGAATTTCTAAATTCTATTATTGTTTGTCATTAGTTTTATAGTAATTATCAAATGTTAAATTCTAATATCCCTCTCTATTCGAATTCAGTCTTATATTAAGTGCCATATTGTAATTATTACGATTTTTAATATCCCTTCTAAATCTTGCAACAAAATTAAGGTCGAAATTTTCTATTTATTCATCACTAGTTTACATATGTCTTGATAGGCACTGTATTTTAAACAGGCTGTTAAAATCTATAGATTCAAACTATTTAACTAGATACGCGCACTATTTCATTCAGTCTATTTAGATGTAAGCTTCTTTATACGTATTGATGTTTTAAATTAGATGTATGTTTAGAATATTGTGGTTTGTTTTGGTGTTTTCAATAAATATGTTTCTCACTCGATAAATGTTTTATTTTTTCTGACCTAATAATGCAATGTTTAACACGAATGTTGAAGAACTTTTCTTACAGCTGGCAACACAGATTTATTTTAAATCGGATTATAGTTAAAATTCGTTTAAAAGTGATATTTAATTAAGAAGCATTAGAATAATAAAAAATATTGAAACAGATAATAAAATTTGCCACAAAAGCTTTGTATCTAGTGCATGAAAAAAAACTGTCAAAATAAAAACAATTAATCAACTGTCAGAATGACAATGACATTATAAGTAAACACAAACCACATGTATACGTAAAAATAAAACGAAGTACAATTATGGAAAAAGATACTTTAAACGAACTGCAGCAATTCCTTAAACCAGAATCGAGGATAGATCTAAAATTGATATCTCTAGATCATTTAATCGGCGTATCCGGTACCGAAGATGGTGTCAAAATTTTAGTGGGAAATGAAAATATTTTAAAAAGTGTCATCGATTGCACAAATGATAAACTGGATAATGTCTCCAAAAAGGCTTTACTGCTTCTTATAAATATAACAGCGTATTCAGAAGGTTCTATACAACTATTAAAACTCAAACCGAACGATAACAAAAGTGTGGTGGACATTTTTGTTGGTTATATTCTAGACGCTCAGAAAACTCACGCAGATGCTGTATGTATGATACTTTCAAATATAACTAGAGTCGAAGAAAACGTTGAACAATGTGTTGACATATTATATAAACATTTAAACGATCTTTTAAATGTATTCGTGAACACGGAATACAACAAAAAAGGTTGCAATTTAGAATACCTTGGACCAATGTTTAGTAATTTAAGTCGAAGTGAACGTGTACGTAATTGGTTGACAAAAGAAAATCCATATGTACCATTAATAAAATTGCTACCGTTTTGTCAATACGAAAAATCAATAATAAGAAGAGGTGGAGCTATTGGTACTATAAGAAATCTAACCTTCGATGTAAAATATCATAAATTCCTTCTAAGTCCTGATTTAGATTTACTAACATACTTACTTGGTCCTTTAATGGGTGGTGAGGATTACTCTGATGATGAGATGGATAAGCTTCCTATATCTTTACAATATCTACCGAAAGAGAAACAAAGAGAAATAGATGTAGATATACGTAAAATGATTTTAGAAACATTTAATAAATTATGTTCTAGACGTGAATATAGAGAGATTTTACGTGAAAATGGTGTATATTATGTACTCAGAGAGTTACATAAGTGGGAAAAAGAACCGTCTGTCCGTTTAGCTTGTGAGAATGTGGTTGATATTTTAATACAGAAAGAAGAAGAAGTTGGAGCAGATGATCTTTCTAAGGTAGATATACCTGAAGACATGGTTGAGAAATTTGAAAAAATGGACGCTGAGTATTTGAATGAAGTATAATATAAAATAACTATAGATAAATGTTATATAGTGTATTATTTAATTAACTGTTGCCCGCGACTTCGTCTACAAGGAATTAAAAAAAAACTTTTTGCGTCCCGGAGGCCTAATTTAGTCCTCTTTCCTTTCCCACCCTTTTTCTTATATGGAAAGGATGAATGTGGAAGTGGACTTTCGGGATGAGAGGATGCATGGAAAGGGAAAATATTTTCTTTGTGTACATTGCCGCTCGCTTCTTTGCCAGCTTATGATGTAAAAAAAACTTTATTAGTAGCCTTTGCATTCTTCCAAATTTCGTCGATATATATTGAGCCATTCTGGAGATTTCTAACATCCAAACTTCCGCATTTATATTAATAAGATTATCCCTTGAAAAAAAAACTGTCAAATAAATTATGTAGTTATAAAAAGTAATGTGACGAAAAAAAATAAATTTTTTGCAAATTTTTTTTAACATTTTATGTTTTGTCGATTTTTTTAGTTTAAACCAAAAAGGGTAAGGGTATTGTAAAACAACAAAATAGAATATATATACATATATTTTTTACATTTACTTATGTTATATAGTTAACTTAACCCTTAATTTGATCGTGTCCAGTTTGACGAACCTACTCGTTCTGGATTTTATTTAATTACTATTAAATAAAATCTACTCAACTAGTTTAGAGAAATTAACGTAAGTGTGACTTTACTAAAAAAAACAGTTTTTTTTGCAACAAAAAATTTCGTAGAATTAAGGGTTAAGTAACAAAAAATATTTTTTATACAAAAAACAGTAAAGATTATAACAACATCGAAGGGACTTAAAACAGTCCTGGTAACAAATATTCAGCGTGTCGAAAGATAGCCCAGGGCGAGTTAGGGCAACCGCCCAGGGCGGCGGGAATAAGGGGGTGTCGCAATCTTATCCAACACCAGTCCTAACATATAACGTATTAAGCGATTTTTTACTGTATGTACATTGTTACTGTAAACTCATGTCACTGGTAAAAAAAATGTCAAAATAAAATTACGCTGCAAATCCAAAATAACAAAAAAAATCACGAAAAATTTCGTTCAAGATTTTTAATTTTTTTTTCCATAAAAATAATTAAAAATATTCTAAAGGAATAACGAAAATATTTATATGAATATTATCTGTACAATTATTATAGTACTTTCACTTAAAGGTTTTTTTTACAAATAAAAAAAAATATTCGTTTTTAGATTTTTGTATAGTTGAATAATACAGAAAATCGTTAAGATTTTTTTTTCAAATACGTAATTAATGTTAGTACTTTTAAGTATTTTTTTATTTCTATTAATTTCAGACATAACTTATATACAAAAAGAGCAAATTCCTAGATACGAATCTCGCCATGTACCAATATACAAAATCCTATGTTATGGTGAAGGAAAACATCGTGTTGCACATATCTGACAAACTCAAACATATGTATCAAGTCTTGCACTGGACCAGCATTCACTATCACATACTCTCACTTAGGGTACTCCGAGACCCTCATACATACAGTGAGCTGATGAAATTCAATATTAACAAAATGGCACAAGACAGCTACAGTAAAAGAATCTTGTCACAGGCAGTGGGAACTAACATGACACTTTTGCCCAAAGGATCACATATTTATTACCTACATAAAATTACACTGCGGTGAAAGTATTAGTCATATTTTCATCTCTTTCTTTTTAAAGAGAACAACAGAAAGAGAAAAAAGGATGACTACAAGTATTAAGTGACTAAATTTGTGGTGGCTGATAATTTTTAACACCTTCCATACGTTTCTTTCTACGCTCCGATGGAACTGCACCTTTTGGCTTGGTTATCACATGAGGTGGTTTCTTATGGAGCTCCGGATTATATGACACGCAACAATCCTGTTAAATATTGAAAATTAACACTGTGCTGTCTGTATGGAAAAAAAACTTAATAGTCTATGTGCTCTTCCAGATTATGTTCTACATCAGTCTTTCCCAAAGTGGGCGATAACGATCCCTTGTGGTTGCTACAGGTCTCAAGTCTTAAGGGGTAAAAGACCCAGAAAGACAATGGGGGCGTTGTGTAGAGGCCTGGGGGGTGATTTGTAATTTTATTTAGCTAGGAGGCCTCTTAGACAACGACTGCATCAACTCTCGACTCTCAACAACTTGTGAACATCAACTAATATGAATTAAAAGATTGCTTAAACTCTAATATGGGGGGCGCTAAAAATATTTATTCTCAAAGTGGGCAGTAGACAAAATAAGTTTGGGAACCACTGTTCTACATCTATGCCCTTCAGCGAGATCCTTGCCAGCTGTTCTGAAGATACCTTCAAACAAACATCCATCCAGTGATCTAAACATTCGCATTTATAATATTAGTTAGACTAGCAGTTGCCCGCGATTTTGTCTATGAGAAATTAAAGCAATTACTTAATAAATAAAGCTTCCCAACAGTGAAAGAATTTTTAAAATCGGTTAAAACAAACAACCAAATCTTTCCTCTTTATAATATTAGTACTAAAATAATGAAAAGTGGACTTGGTAAGAGAATATCCTACATTGTCCACTTCTCTCTTTTTTCTTGCACTATTCCTGACTTTAATCTATTTCTGATTCAATTCCATCCATCCAAACATTCACAATTGTACTATACTCACATCATCCCAATTTTCCTCCGTAGGTACAACAGGGGCCGGTGCAGCAAGACCAACAGTCGGTCTATAGTCATCATCAGTTACGTATAACTGAGTGTCCAGCATAAAACGTTTTGGACACACTGTTATATGGTGCTGAAATATCAAAATAACTGAATACAATCATATAAACTCAGCAAACAGAGGACTCGGAACACACCTCAAGTGGAAGTCAGATTTTTTTTGGAAATTTACTAATATTCCTTTTTACCATTCCAACTAAGCTCTAGGCTTGTGCTAGGATATGGTTTACGACAAATCGAATGGCGGGATTCGATCCCCCGAACTCGTGATCGGAAAACCGTATCCTTAAACATTAGGCTATTGACGCTTTTAAAATTAAAAAAACGCGATTAACGGTCCAATGCAAAATGCACTTGTTTTAGAAACTACACACATAGCGAGTTCCTGTCTGTAGCCCTGACTGCTGGTTGATTGAGTCATGGGTTTCTGTAGTCTGTGGTGCACTCTTTTATATTTAAAATATACACATATTTTATAATAAACTAGTGGACCCGACAGACGTTGTCCTGTCTACACTTCTTTAATTTGAAAATTCGAATATTATTTAAAATTTGACACTGCGATGGTAGCGCCGTCTGTTGGATCCAATGTAAAACATTCCAAAATCAACAACTACTAATAAATTAAAAATTAATTAAAAAAACATTGTCCAGCGGACAAAATTGTGAATTTAAACCATTCCCAGATCCCCTTGAACACACACAAAAAATTTCATCAAAATCGGTCCAGTCGTTTGAGAGAAGTTCAGTGACATACACACTCACAGAAGAATTATATATAAAGATAAGGGTGAGTTCCTATTGTTATTTAAAGGATGTGCAAAAACAGTATGGATCAAGTCTATAGATGTCATTTGTTAAGAAAAAAGAAACAATTAAACACTTACATCCAACTCTGGTTCGTTCACAACATGTGTTGCATCAAAAGGGCAGTTGACTTTTTTACCCTTGAAGTACTGCTTTGCACACTTTTGTAAATGCGTTTGTAATTTATATTTCTCAACTTGATGTGCTGGATTGTACGGACAGGTCATCATTGTGTACGGACTGGGATCCGCCATGACTGGAACTGAGATGGGTCACTTTTAGACATATAGGTTTACTCTTTAAACAGTCCTCAGTCATTCCAAAGATTATTAAATCTAGATATAAACTGTCTCTTATAGTTAAAACGCAACTATTATGCCTTAAAAACATCTTAGGTGTTTATTTAATTTAGTACACATGCGCAAAACTGTTTAGGAAGCAACAAGTATTTTTTTTTACATCGTAAACAAAATGTACTACAAAAAAGAAAGACGTCCCGATAAAAGACGAAAAATCACACAAATTTAATTCATTATAAAAGTAATTCTGCACACTTCTTTGTTTATCGTAACTGTATTTATTATTACGATCCCGCTGACCTTTTTAAATAACATATTTACCTTTTGGACCCTTGTTTGTTCGCTCGGCAAAATGTTTTTCGATAAAGCCTCTGTAAACTACTTTCAAGGCTATAAATATTTTACTTAATCTAAATAATTAAATCGAAAGGATATTTGGGATTGAAATTTGCAACATATGAAAAATACGACGCGCGCCGTTTACAAATCGAAAGAAGAAATCATTTGACAAATTAAAATAATAAATTGTCATCAAATTAACATAGAGTAAATAAGTTTAGTGAGTAATTAAGTTCTGAAACAAATTGCCTAAACTGTGTATTTTAATGAAAGTGCGTAAGGGTATGGACATGTTTTAAATCAAATATCATTAGCGTTTAGTTATTTTACAGTAATTCACACGATAATAATAGCAAATGTATTATTTTACTAGAAAATTCGTATTCACATGCGCAGATCTACAGGTATGGTAGAGCAGGTAGTGATACATGTCTATTCTATGATTTTTGTAGTTTCGTTGCAGGCAGACGAAACTCTATTAGTCTATGGTACAAATTGAACGCAAACGGAGATCCTCCATCTTGAAAATTGTGACTATCCCACTCATAAGTATTCTCTATAATTTTTGGGCTGTTTAAAAAAAAAACCATAGTGCATATGAATAAATTGTGATTAAAAAATTTATAATTTCTTTATATTTAAAGTTTTGATAATAAATAAACAACAATTTAATTAAGTTATTTGAAGTATGTAATTTAAAATTTACAATTTATTTGTATTCATCATGAAAACACCCCCCCCCCCCCCCCCCCC